AGCTTCACAGATACACTGCTGCCAACTGAAATCAAGAGCTCTTGATTATAAGTCTGTACTTTCATACACATTGTTGGAGGGATATAGGGCTGACAAAAAATAAAGCAAAACAAAACAAACACAACATCTAGAACCTTAAGAGTCCACAAGAACTGTCAAACTGATGACAACTCAAAGTACCCAAACTGAAATTTTCAGGGCACAGTGTTTATGTGATTCAGTGAACACAGCCTTGAGCAATTCAACCTTACCTCTGTACCTATTTGAGACCTTCGGGCAGGTTACCTTTCAGAGAGGTCTGGTGGGATCCTTCTGATTTCAACATGTGGAGATAGGTGCACAATTATTTCCTATCTAGCCCACAAGCATAATTTTACCTCAGATGCTGCAGAGTAGAGAGATTTAAAGTGCTTCAGCCTCTTCTTTTAAAGCTATTTTGCTTTGCATAATGAAGCAACCGTTTGCCCAGAAACTTGAACCTGACGTTCCTACATTCAAGGTGAACATCCGAAAGCATAGAGCTAATACTACTTTTCTTTGTGCTAACTGATGTCGAACTGTTCACTCTAAATAGAAAAGATTTAAGAGCTATTATCCATGAAAGCTATATAGCCTACTGATTAAGTTGTGTTTTTACAGATTGAATCTTTTATCCATATCTGAATCTGCAAAAACTTCAAGAGCAAATTGTCCTCCACTAGCACTCTGCCCACTGCAATAGACTATTTCCCTTATTTTATGTAGACATCTAAGCATATTTGTCTTGTGCTGTCCCACATGGGGCAGTTAGGTGGGACGGATCTTTGATTTCACTCAGTAGCTCTCACATTTCAAAATGAGAGCAGATTTGCACAAACCAGCTGCAGACATCTGGGCATTGAAGGAAAGTTTCCACATTTTTTACCTATGGATTCTATATCCAAATATTAGCTAAGTTATGATTCTGTGAGTATCACAGGAGTCTGAATTATGGACTGGGACCTGAAATAATAATTTTTACACATGAATTTACTTCAAAATTCTTTAGCTGTAGAACTGGTTATTAAAATTGACATTGTCCCCCACTGGCTATTAGTATTCTTAGAATCACAGGTTCACAGAAATCATAAATAAGTTTGAAGGAACACCTGAAGGTCATTTAGTTCAACCTTCTCCTAAAAATATGGTTAACTTCAAAGCCAGCTCAGTTCCTCAGGGCACTGGCATTGTAAGTTCTGAAAATTTCCAACGATGCAGTCCATAGGGTAATCTGTGTCAGTGCTTTACATGCTCATTGTGAAAAATTACTTTGTATGTCCAGCCTGAATTTCCTTTTTGGAACTTTTCCTTTGCCTTCTTTTCATTTCATTGTGCATCCCTGAATCTGGCTCCTTTTTCTATAGTGCTCTTTTAGGCACTAGAAGCCTGCAACAAACACGGCACTGAGGCGTATGGTATATTCAGAAAGGCTAAGGGAAGTGACTTGGCATAGCATGGAAAAAAGAAGGCTGAGGAGTGTTCTCTTTAGAACACTTCCTAAGAGAACTCCTTGCAGCCTTGCATCTTAGTGGCTCTCCACTGAGCTTAATTTTGCTTTCGAACTTCACTTTCTCTACTGTCCTTGGTCTATGCATGGTGCAGCTGTATGTATAACAATTCAGTCTGCATTTCTTAATGATTTTTTATCTTCTTGTTCCAGGGTTTGTTTTTGTTTTTGGTTTGTTTTTTTTTGTTGCTTTTTGGGGTTTTTTGTTGGTTTATGCTAAGCAACTACTATTTATCACCTTTCAGTAAAACTGAAGATGTGCAAGTACCAATGGGACCCTGTCAGGTTCCTTGCACTAGAAGGACAGCTGTGATCAACCACTGCTCACTCCTTTCTTGATGCATTCGACTATGCTGGACTTTATAAAGCAGTAGAGGACATGTAGGATTTTTCCTTTCAGTGTATGTCCAGAAATTCACATGAGTTCCTACTTGTTCCGTTTAGGAAAAGTCTATAATTTAATCTAATAAGAAAAATGTCTTTTAAGGCAGACAAAACTTGTATGAAAGGTAACTCTTTGTGAATGGCTGTGGAATATGCTTGCAGACCAGTTCCTGAAATTTCTTAGAAATTTTTTGTCTGTTGAATTTGTATATTGTTGTAATACTGCTTTTCATGACATTAGTAGCAAACTTTCTTTTTTATGTATACTTTCAAACTCAAGTCTTTCCAAAAGATCTTGATTTTTGTCAACTCTTCCATATGAAATTTCACATGAACGTGTCCTGGCAAATTTACCCATTTTGACCTGAAAGGAGGAGGGACATATGTTGTAAAAAGGTTGCAAAGCTATACTGTAGACTACATATTATGTAGCCCTAAACAGAATTTAGTTCAGGCTAACTTACCCTCTCAGCTGTCTCCATACTACTGCAGCTGTGGTATTAGCTGTTCATGTCTGCCTACTTTTAAGCAATGTGTTTGCACCTGTACATGTAAGTATTTTATAATATGATCAGTTTAAGTGGGAGCAGGCATGTATGCATCATGTTTTTCAGTATCCAGAATACTGAGGGATTTCTAACCAAGTTCAATCACCTTCCTTTCCATGAAGATGCAGTGATTGAATTTCCAAGGATCGAGCTCTGTTAAATATTCCAAACACCTGCCTTTCTGCCTAGTGCCTAGAAAACAATTCATGTAGCTTTCATAAACTGAAAAAAAAGATACATGTATATCGCTGCCTATTTGTTTTGTAAGATATGTAGAGACTGGGAACTTAGACTTTATAGTGGTTTAGACCAATTCATTACTGCAGAAGTAGAAACCCGTGCTTCTGTGGCTCCTGAAAGCACATTTACAGTGTCCCAGTTTTTTACCAGAAGGACCTTGTATTTTTTTCACAGGTAATGTGAAGAGCAAGCTGTGCAATGTTATCTCTCCCCAACTAACTGGGAATTTCTAAACTACAGGAAAGAGGTGTTCAAGATGAAAATTGCATTGCCAAATACCGTTTTCTCTCAGCTGTCCAAGTGCTCACTGTAAGGTGCAAGTTTCCCAGTTTCAGTGAGAGATTATTGGTACTTTTTGATATTCTCACAGAGGGCTTCTTTCTACTGTGTCTCTTGAGCAGAACTTCAAAATGCATTGTGAATATCTGTGGATGTTTTATTTGCAACATACATGTATGTAGAAAATACCCTGTTTTAGTCTATCCTGAAGTGGACTGTTCTCAGTTTCACTGTTCATGTTGTTTTGTTTTGCATAAAGATAACTGGTTTGCTGAAACAAGCTGCAAAGAAAACATTTACGTCCTGTTTGCTAGATCACAGCTGTGTGGTGGCACAATTCAGTATCAGGTTTTTTCCCATCTCTTTCTATGTTCTTTAGGTTGCTTTGGGGTTTGTTTTCTTTCTTTTTTTTTTTTTTTTTTGCATGCTCTTCTTTCTTCTTCTCTTATATTACAATGCCTAAAATACTACTCCATAATGATTCCCATCCTGATATGTTCAGGAAGCCCCAGCTTTAGACTTTATTCTTCTATAAAAATTCTGGCTTACTTACAAAGGTTATTTTCAGTTGTTCCTGTATCTGGATAATAAAAGAAATGACACTTATGAATTCCAAAATAACAAAAAATAAGAGGGAAATATTTCTATTATCTCCTGCATCTCTCCTTTTCAGTCCAAGGTTTTTCTGTGAACTGTGTATTGATTCTAAACATCTGGAATCAGCAATGTGCCTACTAAATGTTTTGGTATGGGGTTTTGCTTTTTTATTCAGAGGTGTTTGTTTCTGGTTTTGCAACAAGAACTAGCAGAGTTTCTGTTTGAGGGTTTAATAGTCTAGTAGTTGAAAGGAAAATAGTAGCTGCGGGATGATCTGTGTTTGCAAGCAAACCATGTATGTCTCTCGGTTACTAGCACATTTATTTTACTGTGTGTTCCAAAATGCTGACAATATTTGGACTATCCATTCCCAGATGGCATATACTACCATCTCTCTATCATCAGTAGCTAGGCTTGCATTTTACTCATTGCTTGTGGCTTCTGGAGACTACATTTCCTTTTGGCAATAGTGAGAAATTAATTTGCACTATTTCATAGTGTTGTGACTCCAATACTGCAAATTCCATAAAGCATTGACTAAAAGGCCGACACAAGTGCAGTGGAGCACGTTAAATTATATGTTTACAAATATTTTGATACTTGAAAGTAGAGAAAACATTTTATTTAACCTTACAATAAATTTTAATAATAATAGAATGGCTTAGTTTATCTTGTCTTAACCTGAATTTGCTATGTTTTTTTTTCTACAGTCTGGTTAAAAGTAGCATGCAAATAATTGAATAAAAATAGTTGTATATATAATTATTTCAACATAACAATTTTATCAGCAATGGATAAAAATCTTACCATGAAAGTTTAAATGAAAGTATGACAAAAAAGAAGACTAAAGAATTTTTTAACCTGAAAAATGTTTCTCTGTTATCTTTCACATATTCTGTTAATTTAATATTCATGACCTCTGAAAACATATTTTCACAAATTGTTCTTAGATTATTAATTCTTTTTTTTTTTTTCCTTTGTAACTTATAGCAATATGAAAAAGTGTGAATAATTAACAAAGTTGGACTGGTTGGAGAAAAATCTTGTATTTACACAGGCTAGCCCATACAGCTCAGCACTCTGATTAAACCTACCTGATTCCATGTAAGCCTGGTACCAGCTGGCATATGTTGCATGCATGAACATCAATTTCTATGAAGCTGAATGCTTGCCATCAGCTTGCCTATCCAGATGGAGGCACATTTTGCACCACATTTGGTTATTGCGCTTCCTAAATACAACCATTTCTAAAAATACGCACACATTTTGTTAAGGTTGCCAAGTGCATGCTAAATATTAACAAACAGCATGGATAATATGCAGATTGACACTTTTTTAAGACATATCCTAGTTTTAAAGAGCTATTATGATGTAATTCCTGTAGTTACTCCCCCTAGAAGGGATATGGATGTTCCCAGCTATCTCACTCCAGTGATATCTCAGCAGCCACCCGGAGGCAGTTGTACATCTCTTGTGGCAGGTCAGCCCGAGTGATATTGTTTCCATCCAAGCGCAAATGTGTGATCCTGGAATAGGTTGTTGGCCCAACAACCTTACAGAAGCTGCTCAATGGGAACTCTGAAAAGAAAAGGAGATGAACAAGAGAAAGCATTAATAAGTAGGACAAATAGGGCAAACTCACTATTTTTCTACTTGCTTAATATTGTTTGGGAAATGTGGCTTTAATTTATTAAAATATTTTTCAATATTTTGCATGTCCATTGGTGTAATTCTCCATGCACTTACTGGAACTCGAGGGCCTTCTGTTAGGAGAGGTTCTTTCCATTAGTTGTGAGAGGTCAGAATTTTAAGAACGAGTTTTTCAAGTGCTATGCTCCCAGTACCCATTTGATTTTTTGAGTTTATATGGAAGTCTGACCTGACAGTTAGAGAAAACAAAGAAAAATAATCTCCAGTAAAACTGGAGGTGTAGAGGGAGGAATCAATTGTGGAGGGGTACATTATGATGGAAGGGTAAAATATTGAAGAACGAAAAAGTTTCTGGAGAAATTGAAATCATGATATAGCTTTTCACCAAAGAATGGGTTGTTCAATAGATGTTTTTGTCAAATATCATTTTGGATGTGTCATTCCAATTTACTACTTTCGAAATGAAATTTGAGGCTGGGGTTGAAGAAGAGTTTTCTATTTAAATTGTACAGTTGAACCTTTCCAGAACATCAGGATTGGAAGTTGAGTATAAATGTAAAAAATATCTATAAACGTATTTATATTTATCATAACTTTTATGTAGTGATATATGTAGCCTCTATTCAGTTGAAGTATTATTTTATTCACACAGCAACAGACCAGTCTTGAATGTAAAACTGTCTCACATCTTATGAGCAGTATTAACTGTAAGCTAGAAATTACATGAAATAGAGTTCTGTACTCAGTTTCATAAACACACATATTATACATACATATATACATATACATATTATACACCTATAACATGCAGAGATCTATCCTCAAGAGAGAATGTATGTGAATAAACTTGATGTCCCCTACACACCACATTGTGTAATTCTGTAAAGATGATCCTTCGTTGTCACATGTGCTTCCTTTGAGTCAGAGAGGATTAGTCTATTGAAAAGCTCCATCACTACTAAAGAAGCAGTGTGAGAGACTTCTTCTTCAGGACATTGACATCCATTGAATTCACATCATAGAAAATATTTTACAGGGACTCCTTTGATGAACCCATTCACCAGTATGCAGCCAAATTTCATATCTTCAGTTGCTTTTATCTTGCAAATGACTAGCCCTCATAAATTTTGAGAAACCAAGGTAGTGTTCTCAAAATCAAATGCCATTTTAGCTACCAATCATAGGTCATTCATGAAGTTTTGAAAGCACCACCTCGTACATCTTTTCTGTATAACTATTTAATGTATCTAAGAAAATGTGATGACCTCCACTACTAAAGGAAGTGGAGGAAGTATCTTTATATCTCCGTTTTAAATTCAGTTGGATACTTTCAGGCACTATGATAATCTGCTATCATTAATGAAATATGGCTTGTGAAAACTAAGTAAAAATTTATGCCCATCTGTACAGGCAGCTTTGTAAAGTCTGAGAGCTTAGGTAATTTTTTGGACAGTAAGATATCATGTTGAAGAATGGGTAAAGATTGTATCTTTCCCAAAGTAAGTTGTTTTGAGTAGGGATTAAGGAAATGTATTTCAAATGTTAGACCTTGATCACCAATTTGATTAAAGCAAATCAGAACAATCTCCTAGAGTTTGCATACTGTACAGCCTTCTTTTGGAAGTCTGAAAGATAAAATGCATCCTTAATGCACATTTATTGTGCAGTCCATATTACAATAATTTTAAGACTGCAGACCAATTCTGATACTCTTCAGATTCAGAATGTACCAGCTGAAGTGAACTGATGATTCTTGTGAGTTAGGATCAAATAATTCCATAAATGTTTATAGGGTTAGATCTGTGTGGAATTTTGTTAAGTGAAAACATAAGTTCCTGAGACTTTGAACTCATTTGTTTGGCTATACCATTAACTATTTAGATCCAGTTTTCTGCAGATAGTTAGGTGTAATTTATAGAAATTAAAATAAACACAAATTCTAATATAGATTTTTTTCTTCCCATTTTTCTTGTAATTCAACAACTACCTTGTAAGTAAATTTTCATTGAAATTAGGCATTTAAAAACTTTTTTTTTTTTTTTTTACCATATTGTTACTTTTCAGCAAAAATGCTAGCATTTGGTTGCAAACCAAGGTATGCTTATAGAAGTTGGGTAGACGTTTAACTACTCAAAGGATGTAAATTTTGTGCATGCAAACCACAGAATTTTTCTGTGTTCCCAAAATACTAACCTGTGCTGATTATTTTTTGAGACTGAAACCACTTTGGAAGTGAATATTGATGTAGTCCTCACAGAAGTCAAAAGAACTCTATCATAGACTTCAGAGGGATTTGACTCCAGTATTTCATGTGCACTGTTTTCATTTGGGTATTAAATTTTTATACAGCTCATATAATTTTCACTTGTTAGAAGTGTATTAAAAATGTTTGTTTTCTAATTTCAGTCTCTACTTGGATCTGGTAAATGCATTTAATGTACTGTTACATGGTCTGTATGGAAGCTGCAGTCTGTGAGACTATAGCATAGTTGAATAAAATATGTCAGTAGTTTACTTCCTCCTTTATTACACTTACTAATGTTGCAGGTGTTAAAATCTCTTCCTGATTTTCTAATACTCAGGCTCAGAGACAGTGTAACTGGAATTTTCCCATTAGTGTAGCATTCATATTTTCCCAACACAGAATTCCTGCATGAACTAGACACTAAGGATAAAAAGAATTGAATGAAAACTGGATTTTTCATCTGAACAATTACTTTCTCATGAAAAGTGTCTGTTGCCATAAGAAATTCAGATATTCTAACAAGCTACATGTATATTTGAAATATCTGGGGGGTGTGTGGGTGGAAACAGGAAAAGGCATTTCCTCTCTTTTCCATCTCCTCTCCTCTCCTCTCCTCTCCTTCTCCTCCTCTTCCATGACTATAGATCAAAATGGGAGTATAGAAACACATATCTCAGACAGAATTAATTTTTTACTATATGCTGTGTGAGAGTCTACCCCTTTTACACCAGCAGTGTAAGTAGCCTTTAGCTGAGAGAAAGATTAACTGTGTTAAATTTTCCTTGTTCAGGTGTGCAATACAGTGGGCAATCCTAATGGTATCTGAAGTCCCATAGTCATCTTTGCTGTTTTGTGGTCCCACAGTAATCATACATTAGTCATTTTTGCACAGGCCATTGTAAAAAATCTTTTTTTGGGCTGGTGGAGTGAGCCATTATGAAAAACCTCAAAGAACCTCCATAACTAACTCTGGTTTAGAATAAGTATGATTTATCGTATAGGTACTGATTCAGATAATGGACTGGAGCAGAATACGTGGCCTCTTAACTGTTGCGTGGAACATTTTCACATTCTCCCTTGTTACCCTTCATTCACATGGTGTCTTCTTGCTGGGGTTTCATGTGGAAGCAACAACTCTCCTTTATCCCCTACAATTACAAATGAAATATGGTGAAGTCTGCCTTTGATGCTCTTGTGTCACTGATTCTCTTTGATTCCTTCACTTTTTTCCACTCCTTGAGGAGTCTGTAAAACAAGCTTCTGTGTCTGTGTTTGTGTGTGTGTGCATGAGTCTGTGCATAATCCTAACGGCATCTTAAAACATGGTGGCAAACCACTGTTGTTATTAAAGAGAAAATTCCACCCTTAAATTACTACTAATAAGAAATATTTAAAAATCAAGATTCTATTTGAAGTGACAGTTCAGGTTTGAGGTATGGAAAAATCAAAGGCTTTTATAAACCTTTCATGGTCTTACGCTAGCTTGCATGAGTCCATAGGGTAGCAATGATGGTGCAGCAGTAGCTGGTGCACGCGCTCTGCTGCTGACCACCATTCTGGAAGTACGGCTTTCACTGCAAAATTAAATTGTTGTCTCAGCCTTTGACTTGGAAGCCCTTGAAAATGTGAACGGAAAGCAAACTTCAGTACGTGTGTACCTTGCAGGAGGCTCAGAACAACTACTCTAAGTGTGTAAAATTGCCTTATGTATCTCATGAGAAACTAAACATCATTGTTAGCTCTTTTAGGAGAGAAGGAGTATCTGATAGATTCTCCAGGTCACTGTATATGGTGCCTTAGGTGAGAAATATTTTTTTTTTTTTTTCCCCTCAGCAAAACAAGGGATTGAGATCTAATAGGAAAAAAATAAAAAAAAAAAAAGAATTAGAACACTGAAAGAAATGTGAAGTATAGTAAATACAAAACCTTTTGAAAGATCTTGCTCTGTGGCTGGTACGATCTACAGTAAAACATTTGTCTTTTAAAGGCTACATCTTCATGGAGTTAGCTGTGCATGGAATAGATAACACTGACATTCTAAAACCCTGATAGGCGCAACCAGGCAAACAGAAGAGAGGGGTTTATGGTTTGTTTTATGACAGCTAGCAAGATAATGTAAGTCCTCCTGCAGAAGCACTGTTATGTCTGACATATCTGCCTCTTTGTCAGAGACCACCACTGACACAGGTGCAGCTGGAGAGCTTCTGACATGATGTTGAGGCATCTACCACTCTCCAACACCTCCTTCCCACCTCAGGATAAGGACAACCTTGTAAAATCCATCTCAGTAAAAAACCTCCATGATCTCATGCAAGGTATGACATTTATTGACTTCAGGAGAAACATTTTTTCAAATCACGACTGGAGAAAAGTTTGCCACCTGATGATACCATGTGTGAAATGGGAATGAAAACTAAAAGAAACAGTTGCAGGTCTTTGGATTTCAAGATGGGTTTGGAGCAATTCTGCGTGAGAGAAGAGAGGAAAGAGAGAAAAGCAGCTACTTTGTTGTATCTTTTTCACTGTGCTTTGTGCCTGATACCTTATGAATTTGTTGTCTTCTCCCTCTTTCCTCCCTCCAGCACTTTCTCTATCAGCCTCCTGAAAGGTTACACATACCATAGTCTGATGCTCTGCTGATATGTCTCCTTTTGCTGACTTATTAACCCTGAACATCTTTCACACTGATCAATCCTTGCCCAATTCTTTTTCCTCAGCTGTATAATAAAACTCCATTGTCTTCTATGGATTTACTCCAATTTACATGAGATTTTGCCCAGTAATACACACAGTGGTACAAGGACAGAAATTTCTCTCTTTAAGGATAATTTAAACAGCTTAGTGTCTGTCTTTTAACATTAATGTGGACAACAGAGAAGTGTCAGTGTACTAAACAATCTAACCAGTACCATTTCTTCAGATGGCTTGATCTACCTTTTTAGATACTTGCGTTGACCATCGGTGTCTAGACTGTGGCAAATACTAATGAAAATACTTAAATTTAACTCACTGTTAATTTTGTTGACTTGGAGGTAGAAGTTTTCGAGGTTCTCACTGACAGTTGGAATGCTCTTCAGCTGATTGAAGGAGAGATCCAACTCAACCAGTGATGTGATGTTGAAGACATTGCCTGGTATTCCAGAATCTGTTAATTTATTGTGGGATAACCGTAAATATTGCAGGGCTTTAAAACCTTGGAAGTATTCATCAGGAACATTTGAGATCTGGTTATTATCAAAATACAGCATGAGTAAGGAGTGAGGCAGTCCTGTTGGTAGCTTTGTAAGTCGATTGAAGCTTAAGTCAAGATACAAAAGGGAATTCAGGCCTTTAAAAGCCCCAGAAATAGAATCTGCTTTCAGCTGGTTGTTCTGAAGGTGAATGACAGTCAGATTCACTAGCCCCTCAAGTGCACCAGGATTGACTTTTGTGATCTTGTTGTGACTTAACTGCAGGTCATCCAGAGTTTTGGGGAGTGGTCCAACAGCTTCAGTCAAATTGTTGTAGTTAATGTGAAGTTTTTTCAGATTCTTTAGTTTAGAGAAGACTCTTCCCTTAATTTTTGAATTTTCCAAATGGTTGTGATCTAGGATCAGCCACTGAAGGTCTGTTACGTTATCAAATGTATTCTCCTCAATGCCCTCAATCATATTGTTTCGAAGATAAAGGTATTTTATTCCACTTGGTACAATTGGAATGGTTTTCAGTTTAAGGTTGTCACAATACATGGCAGTAGGGTAGCTTAGTGGACAATTACATTCTGGGGCACAGACTGCTGCAGATGGCCCAAAAGGATCATAACCGTAATCATCTGCAGGACCATAGTCATATTGGCAACAAATGCCACTAATCAGTAACAGAAAGATGGGTAGGGAGTTTAAAGCCATCTTTGCAATGCGTCTTGTACCTGTATGGTAAAAGGAAACAAAAAAGTTAAAACTTTATTTGTTTTCCTCTTTCAGCAATATTTGATATTTTACCATGTAAGTATTACAAATAAAAATGAATTAAGACTTCCTGTCTAAAACTATTAATTAAGGAAAAAGTATATTAAATTGTTAATATTACATTGTTACTACTATAAACTTACAGTCCCTGTCTTGTTATAATCTGCTTTTGCAATGGAAAACTACAGGCCATTCTGCTGTTGTAATTAAACTGTTCTTTACATCTCCCCAAATTCATTCATTAAGTCACAAGAAGGATGATAAAATCCAAGGTTTTTAAACTTGGCACAGAAGAGTTTTGCTGAAGGTCATGGTCAGAGGCGGTTCTGCCACTTAGATTGTATCAAGCATTCCTAATATACTAAATTGCTTTATATAAAAATAACACTTTGTGAAATTACCAAAGTTTAAAAAAGCCAGGGAAGTTACAAACTGAGGGTGATGTTGTACTGTATAGTGTGTTGTTAAGATGCCTGTAGCTTGAAATATCTTCTCATGGAGCACATCCAGTAAAGCATGGTCCACTAATTTTCATATTCACTTAAAGAACAAACTAATAAAAATACATAACATATTCTCCTGGGCATGTCAAAACAATCAGCAGCACTGCCTATGTGCGCATGAGTATATTCTATTTACCACAGATCTGAAATGACTGGATTTGAGATAGTGGAAGTGTTCTTGCAAACTCTCTTATATAACAATAAATGCACTGATCATATTGCAGAACCATTCTAATTCAATAGAGCCATAAAGCTTCATATAGTTGGTCTCCCAGTTCACATAACAGTAAAAGAATGTTCAGTGCCCTTGGAGCTGTTTTGCTGTGATCCAGTGTGAGTCATCTCACCTCAGTTTTTAAGGGCATTTCTCATCAGATACTCCACAAGATGCTAATATGTGAAGATTAGTACCTTGCTTTTACTTCTTACTACCTAGATAGCTGTTGTGTGGAAAACTACTGTTCTGAGAGTGAGATGATTAGGAAAATCCTTAGAACCTTCTTATTCTCAAGTAATTTCAGAAAGCATGCAAAGCCTGTAAACAGACCACCAGACACTAATCTCAGATCTGGGCAATCTTCCAGCAGAGTAAGTTTGCCTTGCTATTGTCATTGTTTAGTGTTACACAGAATACATAGTGGTAAAATGCAGGACCATAGTTAGATAGTCTTCCTTAATTCTAAATTTTCTTGCTTTTATTGACTTGCTAAAAGCCACATCGCATTCTGGTTAGCTAATAATTTCAACTGAGGTACCTGTGGGCAGGGCCTGTTGATCTCATACAGTACACCACAAAATTTGTGAAAAATCATGTTATCTCCAGTTACCCACAAAGTTCCTTTGCTATGTATTGAGCTGCCGCTCCCTGAATAAGGGGAATATACCTTTACCATGGTGTTGCTCCCATTACATCACAAAACAGAGAATATAGTGATCATTGTATGAGTTATCAGTGTAATTTCCTTTGTCTGTTCTTCACTGCTGCATGAGAACATGCAAACTCAACCTTCAGTCCCCTGCTGGTATAAATAAGTACAGCTCTGCTGAGAGCAAAGACACTACAGTGGCCCAATTCAGCTCAAAATCTGGTCCTGTTTAAGTACTAAACATTAAGGATGGACAACTACTGCTTCTGTATTCAAAGTATAATGTAATGAACATCTTAGACTACACTCTGGCCTCACAATGACATTTTTAGACATCTGTATCATTTTATAGTCTTCCTGATAAAGTGGCATAAACATCCTATTTTAAATTCAAATTCTATTGTTATTCTAGTTTCAAATCATATTTTTAATGCTAAATTTTATTATTGATATCATAGGCTTACAGTTCTTTTAAGCAACATACAATGTTTAACTGCCCTGCAGAACCCTGGAAGAAATTTAAAATGCTAAATATCAAGTGTTTTGAATTATTTTATCAGCAACATTTTAAAATGTGGGTGACAATTCTGTAGTACAAGGGCATATAAGTAACATAAAAGAGCACAGTAAAGTACATATGTAGTATGGTTAACTTGTTTTATTCGTGGATTTCTCATTCATGTTTCTGTGTCAGAAGTGTAAAAGGTAAATAGATTGGGTACACATAGTTGTTTGTTGCATTGAACTGTATGAATCCAAAAGATAAAATCAGAATACATTCTTAGACATTTCTCTTGTAACATAAACATGCTTGAACTAATTGCCTGTGTTTGTTCTGACCAGTTATGCTGTAAAATACCTGTGAAAATATTTTTGAAGTTGCTCAGGCGACTTGCCAAAATATACTAAATGACAAATCCCTGATTGTGGAAAATGCTTACTACAATATAGACAAACTATTCAAAGTATTTTGGAGCTACTCTATGCCACTTTAATACTAAAGTTGTCGTGAAACAAAATAAAAATGAATGTATCATTCAATCAGCCTTAAGTTAAATATACCTTAAGTTAAATTTTCAATAGTGTGCTTAAAATGTGCTTTAAATTTAACACAAAATTTCAAAATACTTATAACTTTCCTCTCATTGTTTACTTGATTAATTATTTAAATATCAGGATACCTTTTCTTTTGTATATGAAGCAAAATGATTTAACAAATTATGAATGAATAAGTGAGCAGTGAGTATTCTTAAAAATGTCTTTGGACTGTACATCAGCTCCTCTTTTGAAACAGAACAAACAGACTGTAAAAAAAGTGCAACAGTCCAATGCTGATGCACAAAATATGTGAGGTTTTAAGGAAACAGAGAAAGTGAATCCACTAAGCAACAGTTGATTTGTGTTCAATTTACAAATTGGCAAACTTAGCCTGACATGTTTTCACGTTCCCATTACAGCCACTTTTAAATAGCTGAATATTACGGTTAAAACATGCAGCAGCACTTACCTTACTTCCTTGAAGCTGCTTTCCTCAATTCCCAGAGCAGATGCAATAAGGGACTGTATCGACCAATATATGCTGTAAACGGTGTCAGGAGGTACAAGTCTGCCAGATCCTCTGTGTTACAAGAGAAAAAAAAAAGCCCTAGTCACGCTGTTCTCTGAAGCTGCTATGTCATCATGGTGATCTTGTGGTGTGGCATGTACAAAAATGCAGCCCTCTAATGAAGTGCAGGTGGATACCATATTTTGTACAAGCACAACCCATCTGTTATTCCTGCGGGATGAAGGAATGATCAGTGTTTCACAAACCTGAGAAAGTTTAGACCACTAGCCATAACCTTATACAAGATTTTTTTGTATTTTAGAGGGAAAACATTTTAGTTTGTAAAATGAATTACAAACAGACTTTTCTTTTCCAACTTATTTTATGCTGCTAGACATGAGCTAACAAATAGCACTCAGACCTCAGTGCTGCTGGGCTTCTTCAGCCAAGTGACTCATTCATTTTTTCTGCCTTTTTTTTAACTATCTTATGTCCACAGTAAAGCACCCTTAATAAAAGTTTTAGCTTAATGATCAGTACCAAAGATGCAGGATTATCTTTAAATTGTAACCTTTTCCACAGCACTAAATACTGAGTTTAAAGCTTCTTCTGCCAAGCATTGGAATTTATTTGGTCTGGAGATTTTCTTTGATGACTAAATGTATGTTTGCTTAATAAAAACACATCCCAGAAACGGCTTTTCAGCAGTTACTGTAAACTCACTTTATACATTTGTTCATTTTTGCACTTACAGCTTTCTCCTGCTTTTCAGAATCTGGAACTACTCAGCTTTATGTTGTCTGTTTCTTATTCCATGGATGTAGTTCAAGAATGCATCTTAAGGCTTGGATAAGATGTTATTTTCACCAGGCAATGCCAAAAAATAATGCACTAAGTAACTGTTTAAAGTGAGTCTTAATATTTCCATGAGAACCTTCCCTTATCTCTAAATGGTGGATGTCTTCCCTTTTTATGGGAGGCAAGCTCTTTCTTATAAAGTTGTATAGGGACAAACATGAAATGTGCATATAGAAAGCATGTGCAAGACATTTTAAAGTGTCCTGTCTGTTTAATTGTATTTAAGTTTAGTTGTTGTGAGTACAAGTTAAGTCTCTTTGTTATCTACTGGCTATCTTTATGAAAAGTTGTGGTACAGCATGTGGCTGGGCTGGAGAAGCCTAACAGCTTCCTGAAGAAGAGGAGCCTGGATGTGAGCTTCCCCCAAAATCTGCTGCTGGTGCATTTGGGCCTCCATGTCAGTGCAGGTTACTGGGAGCAGGGAAAGGCCTGGCATAATTCACTGCCCTTCACAGAAAACAGGAAAGGCACCAAACAGTTACAGACCCGTGCTTCTGCAGTAACACAATTAGCAAAGTTTCTCAAGAAAGAGCGCTAAATACCAGTGCAGCCCATAGAGAGTGAACACTACTCTTTTGATGTTCTGACATTATTCCTATCATGGGAGAACTATTTACACATTAGGAAACATGCTGATGACAGGTTATAACTACCAAATGATGCAAGTAAATGAATGTGAAACACTGAGATACATGGTATCAGAACTAGACATGTAAAAGTGGACAAAGCTGTTCTGGCTGTGGACAACCAGAGACCAGATGGAGTTTCTCATGCACAGTATGATTCTTATCTGAATTAGTTTCCGCAGACCAAGGAAAGGCTGAACTGTAGCTTTGACAAATGGGACAACAAGCAGAGGCATTCAGCAAAAGATCAACTGGAATAAAGAAAATATTTTTAAATATTTTCCCATTAAGGAAGTACTGAGGTTTGTTCTTTTGAAGAAGGGTGCAGCAAGCTGAGCAATGGAGCACAATGTTTGTAAAGAGAATTTTAAAATTCACAGTAAAAATCATTCTTTGTGTTTTCTGTCAGTAGAGATTTGTTTTGAAGCTTGATATTGTAATAAATTAATACATATTTTGATTTTTGATAATAGATGTAGATTTATATTTACAGTACAACTGCACATTGTCTGCAAATACAGGATAGTGCAGGCTTAAAATGTTTTTGGCCCTGTTATATTTATGCACCAGTTTTTTATTACACTGATTTCTGTAGGTCCAATATGTACCCTTTTTCTCATTCTATTAACAGAATTACAAAACATGCATATATTTATAAATTGTAGAAAAATATTATTAAACAGAAGTGTTTTTTGCAATTAACACATGGTAAATGTTTGGGTCACATAAAATTCAGCTGAGACTTTTTCATTCATAATATTCCTGTGTTGCTAAGTGGTTTAAATTAGCTAGAATTGCATAGTTGAGATGAAGAATCATGTGCCTTCCAAAGATAAAATATTAAACAATAGATTTTTTTCCCTTTTTTAATAAGATTTCTTTTTAATCTTCCCACTCTGTTATTTAATACTGTCCCTTCAGCATAATTTTATATGCTTTTCTGATTTTATTGTTCTGAATCATGAAGCACTCACCTCCTAAACCTCAGTATGGGAGGGAGATCGGGTAGGAACTGAAGCCCAACAAATGAAGGTATGGCTTCTTCTGCAGCAAAGGGTAGGAAAGCAAGTGGGTGATTTTGTCTTTCTGGCTTTATTTCATGGGTTTTGGTGATGGTTTGTTGTGGTTTTTTTTTGTAGCTCTCAAAAGCCATTGAACAGCATGTGAACATAGTCTAGCTAATTTCCAAGGAATACACAAAATACTATGTAAATTCACCTATGACATCTAAGTTGAAAAATGGTTATGAATACGCTTCACACCTGGTAGTTGATATTTTACCTTTACGGCAACTGTGCTCCTAATTAAGCCATCTCAGTATGTTTTATCTAAAATTAATTTTCTTCCTATTATTTATTTATTCATTTTTTGTTGATGTAAAATGTCATCAAAACCTGTTCTCATCTAGTTTTCTTCAGCTTCTGAGACATGAACAGAAATATTCCTTTTATTTGTTTCAAAGCTCTTTTCTTGCTGATTCATATTTTCACAGCTGGAGATGGCCAAGAAGTCTGATAGATTACAGTGAAAAAACCTGAAAGCAGAGATCACTGCATCTGTATATCACTTTGTAGTCACTAGTTCTAGCATTCAGATATTGTCAAGTTACAGCATCAGTTTTCTCTCTTCACTCAGAAGTGACACACTTTCTGCTTTCTCTCTCCTGTAAGAAAACCTTCTTTATAACTGATACACTGAAGGAATGGAAACTCTTCCCAATCTTCTTTTGCTTTTAATCCCATTTTTCACAAACAATTTAAGTTACTAAAACCTAACAGATATTAGCTACATCAACCACTTTTTTCTAGTCTTAAGTCATCTTACCAGCTGTGTACACTAAAAAACAAGCCATTTGGGTGCCCAGAATTAGGGGTAGGAGATCTGGATCTTAGGAGCATATAGCTCCAGAAAAAGTACTTGTGGAAATTTTCACATTGCCACACAAAACGAGCAATGAGTTTTCCCACCAATCACTCATAACTTAAAATAAATATAACTCTCAAGATGAAATGAAGATTAATACAATTTAATTGGCTACTTGCAACAGAAGGTAAAGAAATCTCCATTAAGGAAAAAGGCAATTCCATGGGCGCCATGCAGCAAGCCACTTAATTATAACGTAATAGTGTTTACATATTTTTACATAGTTACTATTTTTACATAGTTTTCCATATCTCTAAATAATGAATATATAGCCTGATAGCCAATACAGGCTGAATAAACAAAAATATGATATTAACTCAATCTCCAGTAATAATTAGTTCAATGTTTTTGTGAAGTCCTGCAGCATATTGGAAATAACACTTAAGGCTGGCTCATATCAAATGAGTTCCACTAAAAACAATTCAGTTCCAGACTCTGAAGGCTGTGGGTGCTTATTATTTTTTCATCTAAAAACTTCCATCCCTCCAAATTGAAATTTTATTTGTTCAGCCTCTACACTGCACTTCCATGCTAAATGGAAAGTGTTAGAACACATACTATAAGCATTACAAAATTTGTGGTAATCCAAACCTTTTTTTCCCTCTCTCCTAAAAAGGAAATAACAGCTTTGGAAATTTACAAAAATGGTAATAGCGGTACAACCTATTAGCAGACCACAACACATATTTTACTTGTGCATGAATCTTTGTTTTTGTCATTCTAAAAAAATTGTTCACTGTTTTGCCTCAAACTTGACAGTGTCTGTATTCTAATACTGTTTAGCCTCCTCTCCACTGCTTTTCAGACTGTTTTTGCACGATACTGCACTTAATTTTACTTGAATTGTCAACGGCAAAATTCCCTTGAGTTGATTCAAAACTCTTTGATTGAACTTCTTCTATGACAAGAGCTTCACAGATGAGGGCAAAATACTGTTTTTAAAACAGATTTCTATGTATATATACTGCATATTGTATTAAAGTTACATGCTGATCCATGTATAAAAGAAAGTCAGGTGGCCCTGAAACATGAACCAATTTAAACGATTGCTAATGTAAAGACTGTAAGAGGATCTCAAGGAGTTGTTGAGTTTGTGGGAAAGTTGTGGTTACAGATAAAAATTTTAGTAGCAGCTCTTTTTTAAACAGTACAGTTAATCTGTAGGAATAGAAAGAGGTGAACTTGGCAGACTTGGCTTGCTTACTGTCTATTGTTTGTGTATACTAATTCTGTATCAACGTAGACCTCCTTTGAAAATAATCGGGTGCTAAACACTTTCCCCTAATCTAAGCATTAGTAACGTCTGCCTGTTTTCAGATTGCTATTGTTTAAGGTCAGATGGGATGTTGCATTGTCTACCCCAATGTGCTGTATAACACAAACCACTGAACCTCGTCCTGTTACAGCTATACTGAGTTCAACAAAACATATTTGCCTACTTATGCTTCAGAAAACGTATGACCATGGTCAAGACATGGAAAGCTTGGGAGGTCTCTAGTTTGGTGCAAGAATCTATTAATTTTTGCCCAGGCTGGTTTCAGGATATGGCCGGTTATGACAGGTGCTCAGAACTTTCCTACCTGTGGGCAGAAGGTTGCATCCTGGTGTGGCAACTGACATAATTAGACTGCCAATTGAGTGAGGCTTATTTATTAGTTTTTATCCTTGTTATTCTTGCAGGCAGTACCCAGAAGAAGAGGGCTTGTTCCCAGGTGTCATGGTTTAAGCCCTGCTGGTAACTCAGCACCACACATCCTCTTGGTTACTCTGCTCCTTTCCCCCCCCCCACCACTCCCAGAGGGATGGGGAGAAGAAACAAAAGAATGTAAATCCCATGGCTTGAGATAACAACAGTCCAGTAACTAAGGTATAACACAAAACCACTGCT